GTCGTGTTCAGTGTTAGGGTGAGCGTTGGCTGAGGCTGAAGTTGAAGTTTCTGCTGTTGCTGTGCTCCAAAGGCAGTTCCAAAGCCGCCAAAACCCGTCGTCTGTTGCTGCTGCAAAGTATTTGCTCCAAAGCCTGTCGTTCCACCGAATCCAGTGGTGGTCGTCGAACCACCTCCAAGCGCCGCTCCAAAGGCATTCGACAGATTGGTGTTCCCTGTCGCCTGGGTAGCTCCAAATCCTCCTGTGGTGGCGCCAAAACCAGTGGTGGCACCGAATCCCCCAGTAGCTCCAAAGCCGCCGGTGTTTGAGGAAGCAGTGTTGGCGCCAAAGAGAGTCGGCTGAGAGTTGCTGGAACCGGTGGCAGTGGCCGCGCCGGGGAAGGAAAAGCCGGTGCTTGCTGAAGAGGTCGGAGCAGCGGAGGCCGCCCCAAAGGCACCAAAGCCAGTCGTCGTCTGACCAGCGCCGAACATGGTGACAGAGGCGGTGATAATAGAACCGGAATTCGAACCAGAATCAGTGACCAGAAGGTGATGGTGGCACAACACAGCAAAGCAGCAGCAGTTTTGGTCGTTTTGTTTTCGTCTGCAGACCCGTCCTTTACGACCGACCCCTGAGACATGCCTGCAAATAAGCCCCGCCTCCGCCACTCCAGCAGCAGCAGCAGCACGCTCGCTCTTTTCCTTCTTCCGCTCGCTCTTTCCAAATTTTTGTGTTGAGCATCTACGCGAAAAGCCGAAATGGTAAGTCTTTCCTTATCAAATTACCGTGATCTCGGGTCCCGTGCCGATTACTAACGTGATGTTCAATTCTTTCTTCCACACTATAGCCGACTCGATTCTCCAAGACTCGCAAGCTGCGCGGCCACGTCTCCCACGGCCATGGTCGCATTGGCAAGCACCGCAAGCATCCCGGCGGTCGTGGTAACGCCGGTGGTCTTACCCATCACCGAATCAACTTCGATAAATAGTGAGTGCTCGAGGACCTTACCCGATTGACTTGATCCACTAAACCCAAACCTTTTGTTTACCACTTCCATTCACCACCACCGCCACACTTCAGCCACCCTGGTTACTTCGGTAAGGTGGGCATGAGGAACTTCCACGTGAAGAAGACCAGCCTGAAGGAGTACTGCCCGACGATCAATGTCGAGAAGCTGTGGTCCATCGTCGGCCATGAGGCGCGAGAGCACTACGCCAAGGACAAGAGCGGCAAGGCGCCGGTGATCGACCTGGTGAAGCACGTAAGTTACGACTTGTCATTCTGTTGACAGCAGACCTTTCTTTATTTAGTTGATTTAGTCAGCCAGTCAGTTCACCGAACCGCCGCCCTTGTGTTACCTTTCTATCTGCACCTTCAGTGTGCTAACTCAATGATATGTTACGGCGTCAAACAGGGCACAAAGTAGCCGTTTAGTTCTCTTTAGCTTTGCCTTTTGATCACTGCGATTCCAAATGTTTTGCAACATGATAATTCGGACTGGGAGCTAATCGACATTTTTCTATTTTCAGGGTATCTTCAAGGTCCTCGGCAAGGGCAGTCTGCCCACCCAGCCCATCATCGTCAAGGCTCGACTTTTCAGCAAGAACGCCGAGAAGAAGATCAAGGCTGCCGGTGGCGCCTGCATTCTCACCGCATAAGCGCCAATTCTGTTGTAAAGTCTCAAAAAATAAAACCCCTTTTTCCATCCGCATACTTTGTTTACTGCTTACTATTTACACGTGATCACAGGATATAAGAACATCAAACAAACTGTGGACTAGGAGCACCTTCTTCCGCCTGCACCCTCCGTTGTCGCCGTCTGAGGTAGTAGAGAATGGCCACCACGGCGGAGGGCGTCACGCCGGGAATGCGCGTCGCGGCGCCAATCGTCGGCGGACGGTGGTCGGCCAGCAGCCGCTGCACCTCCGCCGACAGGCTGAGCGAGCCGTCGAAGTAGTCGATGTCCTCGGCGATGGCCAGCGCCTCCTCACGACGCACCTCCTCCACCAGCGCCTGCTGCTTCACCACCTCGCGCTCGTAGAAGGCTTCGATTTGGAGGCGCTGGGCGAGCGCCGGATCGTGGGCGGCCGCCGCCAGCTCTGGCACTTCGGGAAATGCGCTGGCCATGGCCTGCACGTCGGCGCCAAAGTCGGCGATAGACAGCACCTCGAGGGCGGTCTTCTTCTTCGGACTGGAGGTGGTGTAGGTGGGCAGGACGTGCTTGTTCAGTCGCGACAGCCACTGAGTCATCGAGAGGCTTTTCGAGCGCAGTGCCTTCAGACTGCTCTCCAGTCGGGCCCGTGTGGAGAGGAAGTGCTGGTATCGACGGTCAGAGACGACGCCCACTCGGTGGCCGGCCTCGGTGAGGCGGAGGTCGGCGTTGTCCGGTCGCAGGAGGAGGCGAAACTCGGCCCGACTGGTGAACATGCGGTAGGGCTCGCTGGTACCCAGCGTCGTCAGGTCGTCGATCAGCACGCCAATGTACGCCTCGGTTCGGCTGAGGGTGAAGGGCTCAGGTGCTGGAGACTCCGCCGTAGAACGTGACTTGAGCGCCGCGTTGATGCCCGCGACGATGCCCTGCGAGGCCGCCTCCTCGTAGCCCGTTGTGCCGTTGATCTGTCCGGCGAGGAAGAGGCCGCCGCAGCGTTTCGTCTCCAGCGACGGCCGCACTTGGCGCGGGTCGACAAAGTCGTACTCGACGCCGTAGCCCGGTCGCAGCATCACCGCCTTCTCCAGACCGCGAATCGAGTTTACCAGCTCCCGTTGTGCTTCCGCCTCCATTGTGCAACTTATTCCGTTCGGGTAGATGACATCGCTGGTGAGGCCCTCCGGCTCCAGCCAGATCTGGTGCTCCCTGCTGCCAAACTTGAGGATCTTCGANGACCAACTCTCGTTGCGCCCCTTCCTCCATTGTGCAACTGATTCCATTCGGGTAGATGACATCGCTGGTGAGGCCCTCCGGCTCCAGCCAGATCTGGTGCTCCCTGCTGCCGAACTTGAGGATCTTCGACTCGATGGAGGGACAGTAGCGCGGGCCGCGCACCTCCTCTCTGACGTGCCGGTTGCGGTGGACGTTGGCGCGGATGATCTCCGCCACCCTCTCGTTGGTGAAGGTGAGCCAGGTGGGCACCTGCTGCCGGTCCGGGTCGTCCATCCAAGTGCGCTCGTTGAGGAAGGAGAAGGGCACCGGTGGACTGTCGCCGGTGGTCACCTCGAGGCCGCTGAAGTCGATTGTCTTGCGGTCCAGTCGCGGTGGAGTGCCCGTCTTCAGGCGGCCCATTCGAAAGCGGAGGCNGGTGCTCCCTGCTGCCAAACTTGAGGATCTTCGACTCGATGGAGGGACAGTAGCGCGGGCCGCGCACCTCCTCTCTGACGTGCCGGTTGCGGTGGACGTTGGCGCGGATGATCTCCGCCACCCTCTCGTTGGTGAAGGTGAGCCAGGTGGGCACCTGCTGCCGGTCCGGGTCGTCCATCCAAGTGCGCTCGTTGAGGAAGGAGAAGGGCACCGGTGGACTGTCGCCGGTGGTCACCTCGAGGCCGCTGAAGTCGATTGTCTTGCGGTCCAGTCGCGGTGGAGTGCCCGTCTTCAGGCGGCCCATTCGAAAGCGGAGGCGGTCGGCGAAGGTGGTGGCGAGGCCAATCGCCGGCTGGTCGCCCAGTCGTCCGGCGGGGTAGTGCTCCAGGCCGATGTTGATCGTCCCGCGGAGAAAGGTTCCCGTGCAGATGACCACCGAATGGCTGGTGATGGCTTGGCCGTCGGCGGTGATGATTCCGCGACAGGCAAAGTTCTTCTTCTCCTCCTCATCTTCATCGGTAGATGATGAAGCAGTCGCCGACCACCTCTCCTCCAGCAGCAGGTCCTCGATGGCCGCCGTGAGCACGGTCAGATTGGGCGTTGCGCTAATCTCCTCCTGCATCGCCTGCTTGTACAGCTGTCGGTCAATCTGCGCCCGCAGGCCCCAGACGGCGGGACCCTTGCTGCGGTTGAGCACCTTGTACTGAATGGCGGAGCGGTCGCAGATGCGGCCGACCAGGCCGTCCAGTGCGTCGATCTCCCGAATCAGCTGGCCCTTGCCGATACCGCCGAAGGCAGGGTTGCAGCTCATCTCGCCGATTGTGTCGAAGCGGTGCGTCACTAGCAAGGTCCGGGCGGACATCCGAGCGGCGGCGGCCGCCGCCTCGACGCCAGCATGACCTCCGCCGACGACAATCACATCGTACTCCGGTGATGGTGGTGACTGTTGATGATCAGTGGAGAGTGATCGTCTGCAGACGTTGCTGATAATGTACTGTCGTTGAGGGAGGTACTTTCGGAGCAGGAGTAAGGAAGTCGGCGTTTTGGGGAACATGTTCACCTACAGCGAGAGAGTTTCATCAGGAGTTCTATTTATCAATCTCGCGCACCCGAGGAACACGTGAGGAACCAAAACATCTAAACAGCTGACTTTTTCACCCATTTTTCAAGCCCCTTCACAGACGCAGTGATTTGGTGTTGCCTTTCAGCCGTGTTTTGGTCGCGGCAGACTCTTGTCAACAACTCTTTTTATTCTTTAATTATTTTCAGGATTCTCTTTCTTTTCTTTATTTTTTATCTCTTGTTTATTTATTGTTAGAACAGTTAAGTTTTTGTATTACTTTTTTTACTTTTTTTAGAAGTTTTCGTTACTTCACCAAATCAAAAGTGCTCTTGACTGCGCCTTCAAATGCTTTAGCTTTTTGATGATCACAATAAACGCCTCCAACAAAATAGAAAGACAATGTCCATGACGAGCAACGCCGATTTAGACTTGGAGATTACGCGTAAGTGTTTCTTAATTCTGTCTAGCTTAAATGGATTTTTTGCAAAAAGTCTAAAAACCAAAATATAAACCACCATAAACGCCCATCTCTAATTTCCATTTTTCTCTTTGCCATTTCGAACCCAGACCAAGCTCGTCAGGAGGCGATTGGCAAGTACCGTGCCTTCATCGACGATGTCTACCAGGACATTGCCAACACCAACGAGCGCCTGAACCTCAGCGGCACCGTCTTCAGCGGCCTGGAGCCCTTTCGGCACCTCTCCGAGCCACCGATCACCAGCACAATCACCGAAAATGAGGCATCCACCTCTACTCTTCTAGACAGCCCCGATGATTCCTCGCTGGTAGTGGAGCACACCAACTACTTTCAGCTGCTGCAGACGTGCGGCAACACCCAACTGAACAAGCTGATGCTCGTCTTTGCGACGCTGACCGAAGAGCTGGAGACGCTAACTCGAGGCGCCTCCGCCTTTATCAATCCAATCGTCCTTTACAGAGAAGATCTGGTGGCAGTGCCAGCTGTTTCCAGCTCTAAACAAGATGAAGGTGCACTGTCATCCTCAGAGTCGGAGTCCTGGGACGAGGACGACGAGTACACTGCCACGGCGACCATTCTCCCGGTCCTCTTTGACCTGGTCCTCTACCTGCGCCGGTGCTACGAGGTGGCCACCAGTTTTCTGCTGCAGAAGCACTCGATGCTCGCCTACGCCACTGTCAGGCGCACTGATCAGGACTTTCAGTCCAGTTTGAGGGAGGTGCTGCCCGACCTGAACCCTGCCATTCGGTTTGTTGAACTTATTTGTTTGCTGCTTTTTTGTACTAACTTTTTCTCCTCCAACACAGCTTTGACGTCGCCTGGACGGCCCTCGCCAACCTATGCCTTGCGCTGATCAACCTCGATCAGGTCTTTGCGGCGCAGGCAAACACTCTCCGGCGGGACATCTTCAACTACCGCCGCTCGCTGGAGGCCGTCTCCAAGAGCCTCACCTCCTTTGACCTGCAGGCGAAGGAGGCGGAGATACAGACGCTGCTGACAGTGCTGGAGGAAGTACAGAAAGAGCTTTTTGACGGGCGGATCGCTGGTCGGGCGCCAACGGAGGCAAACCAAAGCGGTGGTGGCAACGAAATCGACTACCTCTTCTTCCGCGGCCTGGTTGTTTCCGTTCTCAACACTAACGTTTCAGAGGGCGGGGCGATTGCGCGGAACACTGCCCTCAATGAGAACATTGCCGCCTTCATTCGGTCCACATCGGCGGAGGTGGAGGCTTCCACAGCTGCTGCTGCTGCTTCCACGCCCTCTGCCTCTTCTACCTCAACAGCATCAGCCGCCTCCACTGCCAACTTTATCGTAGACGCCGGTCACCGCCTCCTCTCCACCTCTGCCCTCTATGCCCTCTATGTGCACCTCTTCTGGGCGGCGGCAGACCGGCGCCTCGCCAAGTCTGCCCTCACTGACGTCCAGCGCAAGTGCGCCCTCAGCTACGTGCCACTGCGCGGCAACGTCTCCCTCGCCCCTGACCAGCTGCTGGTCGCCTGCCTGCCGAAGGGCCTCGTCGAGAAGAAGGTCCTCGACGGCTTTGCCGCCTCTCGCGAGGCGCTGCTCAAGGTGGGCGCTCTGGAGGCGGCGGTGAGGGGGGCCAGCGGCACGCTCACCCAGTGGCTGGCCACCATGGAACAGTCGCTCAACGCCGGCTTCAACGCCACCTCGGCCGACAAGCGCCAGGAGACGGAGGAGCTGACCCATCTCGTCTTCAGCCACGTCAACCAGCTGAAGGAGGGCGTGGAGGCGGTGAGGGTGCTCAGCAGCGCCCTCCACTCGACCATCGCCGCGCACACCACCGCCAATCGGCCACTTTCGC